AATGTATAATGCACATACATACACACACACAAACCTTATTGCAAATACTACTTATGAGGACCACATGTGTTTGGTTACCAAGTGAGGACCACCAGTTCTGTTTGACTCAAGAAAACATTAAAACTATTTTTGGCCACAGGTTGCACACACAACTACACCTACGCACGGACGCACATACACGCACACACACACACATACACGCACACACTGGGCTACAGATTACATGATTCCTGGGTTTGTTTCCACCTCCAGACGGGGCCAAACACGTACACTAGGTCTGAACATAATGTGTGAGTGAATGGATGGTGACGATCGGAGGCTTCGAAGCTCCAAGCTCCAGTGTGTTCCATTACTTGCTTACTAAGATGTGGATCAAAATCCTACTCATTCTTTCTCATGACGCTAAGCAATGAATGTGCCCCAGTGTAGAAAACTGCTCTCAGTCAGTCACATAGCTCTGCAGAAGAATGTGAGAAAATTAGGGCTGGGACTCGATTGAAAAAATGTATCAATTAATTAGAGGCTTTGTAATTGATTAATCACATTTTAGTCGCATATTAATATTTGACCTGAGAACAGTGAGAAGTATTTTTTTTTCACATGGATTTTTAGTATACCATTGAATAATGACTGAATACATAAGCTTAAGCAACAACAATATTGTTTATTTTTGTACAAGTCCAACAGACCAGTGTAATTTTTGCTATATTTAGAAATACACTTCCCATCTGTAGCTGATGTTACTGTGAACCAACGCGTTTACATCCGCTTCTTTGTTCATGTTCACTGTGCGTCAAACCAGAGCGGAAACCATAGCGAAGCGAGTGCAGCTGCGAGGCAGCGTGCGAGTGTAGTAGTGCACCAAACACAAACTTTAGACACTTTGCAGAGAGTCTGCAGTGGGAACACTGTTTTTCTGAGGCACTTCTGTCATGGGGAGGTTCGAAGACAGGTTAGATTTGCGGAGAACAAGCCTGGAAGTCGAGCGGTGCTCCAGTAAAATCGGTCCGTCTGAAACTCACCTAGTGAGAAAAGTTCCGCGGTGCAAAAAGGGAGATTACGGTTAAAATGCGTAACAATTTTTAACGCGATAATTTTTGTGTAATTAATTCATCTTAATCAACGCGTTAAAGTCCCGGCCCTAGATAAAATAAAGAGTCTTCTTGTTTTTTGCACACACAAGGATACTGCCCATTTAGCGTTCACCTGGAGTCCTCATCTCCACTCTTCAATTTTCACATCTTTCTCTTCTGATCGCCGATTCTGCGGATCACCTCTATGTTTCATTACCATCAATCTGAGCCAAGCCTGCATGCTCACACCTTCAGTCCATGCAGTCACCCACTCAGACACAAATACAATATCAAAATATGAAAGTAAGAAACTCATAAGTAGATGATGAGAAAGAAAGAGTCATTTAAATTCCTGTTTTTCTATCTCTTGTATTAGCATTTCTATCTTTAGTTAGCGTTAAAGTACCATGGCTGAGGAGATAATTGTCCACTTGAAGCTGAAGGCACTGACGTTGGATGTAAATTATACTGTAGATGGATACCTTTTTACTGTTATTCGTCAGCCTCGTTCATCTTTGACTTTGCCAGCTGTGATTACATTTATCATTCAAGGTGAGGGTCTGCAACAAGATTGTCACTGTGAAGAGGTTGCATTGATTGGTCTACATTCTGGCGTTAAGGGGAATCTCAGTCTCTTCTCAAATTGTGAAGAAAGAGATACAATATTGGAATGCAAGCATCAGTTAAATCCGCTCATATTCATCCCAGCATTTGGAAGAAATTATTTAAAATCCTAGCTATTGATCTCCTGCAGAAAATCATCCCATAGTGGTTATGTCAAGAGATGAGACTATAGTAAATACATTTTCAAAAAGAAAAAGATAGTAAAGAATAATATACACAATATTTCAGGATTCTATGGTCAGAAATATGCCTATGTTTAAATGACACACACCCTAAATCATTAAAGTAAGCATTATATCGTCCACAAAGCTATTCATTCACAAAGCTATTTATTGTATTTCTTCTTAGTGGAAGGCTAAATCTGGATTTATATAATGATAGGGAATGGTTTCAGGATATGAAACAGAAATAAATATATTGTGAACTTATCTAATAGCCCCCATAAATGTATGACCGCTTAGTACAAGAAGTCAGGTTATAAATGTCTCAGTCATTATTATGTTAAGGCCAATAAATGATGTACATTGAAATGCAGAGATTTGTGGTTTTTAAAGTTAAAACAATTACAATGTCTTCTTCTTATGCACATACAAAATAATACATGCCTGAAGACTGGAGCGTTCGGTGAGAATTAGTGCAATTTGAAAATAATTAAGGAGTTGGAGGGAAGAGTAATTCAGGGCAGACGGCTTAGTTCTTTGGAAAAGGAGAACGTGAGAGAATAAGGACAGGCTGTGCTTTGGGAGCTGATGAGGGGACCACATGTTGGAAGCATGCAGCGGGCACAGTGCACCTCCTCACACCTATGGACGACAGACTGAGGGAGTTTTACGAGGGCATAAAACACTAGGCCTGTTAAACCTGAGCTGAGAAGTCAAGTTTACATTTTATTGCATTGGTTTTACAAGAAAAACAAGAGTCAAATCAATTGTTGTCACAGCATCATTACGGTTCCCCGATACCCGGATTATAAGACTAAACAATACAATCAATACTATACAAGCATTACAAATGAAACATACAGAGTGCACTCAAATAGACTTCTAAAAATGAATCAATCCAGCTTCGTGAGGTCAGATTCTGATCACCAGTCCCATCATAGAGAGAATAGACTTTAAAGCAGCTGTGTACTGTACAAGTCTCTCCATTATCTCCAACCAAAGAGACATATTACAACTGAGACATGTACCATATGAACCAACTCGGACTCTGAGGAACACAGGGACGGGCCTCCTTTTGGGACTCTGAGGAGCACAGGGACCGGCCTCCTGCTGGTGCCCATAGTTAGGACTAAACATGAGGAGGCAGTGTTTCAGATGTGTTTAGCTAAAGTACACACAGGTTTCTTCTCTGGCAATATTCAAATCCAGATTATAACAATTCCGTTTAGCTGTGCATACAACAAGGATTGTAATCTTCACTCATTTTATGCATGTGATTCATTATGATTTCAATGCCTTGTGTGACTGCACTTTGTGTTTTCATGTACAGTATATGAACTGTGCTATACACCAGTGTTTTTCAACCAGTGTGCATTGGAACGTTAGTGTGCCTTGAGATGTTGTCTGGTGCGCTGATGAAAATGGTCCAATATCCCCCATTTGGTCAAAATAAAGTGAAAAGAAGAACGGCCGACAGTGGCTCAGTTGGTAGATTATTGGCCTGAAGGTTGTGGGTTTGAGCCCACCACCAGACCTACTTCACGACTCCCACTGATGTCTGCTGTTGTTGTATCTTTGGGCAAGACACTTAGCCGCTTAACTCCCACTTTTTGTGTGTGTTTATAACTGACTTTCGGTGTTGATTAAGGCTGCAGAGTTTCATCTTTGTATGCGTTTTAGCTGGTGGTGTTCCACTTGATTGTATTCAATGGAAAAGGTGTGCCACAGCTAAAAAAGGTTGGAGAACACAGCTTTGCACATACTTACCTTGTCCTAAATATTTCTTTCTTTAATAAATTTGAACAGATACTTTGGAGACAATACCAGATCAATTCGATGAGTTTGTGTGTGCCTTGTCACACATAAATAGTGTAAACCGAGTGTTTTATATCACCTCGCTCCTCTCCTGTGATCTATGAAGAGTTCTAGGCTTTGGGATACATTGTTACAAAAATAATGTGTCTTTATTTCTGTCAAACTGAAAGAATAGAAAGAGCCTTGTCGAAGCTGCAAAGGAGATGGGAAAGGGGCACTGGGGCAGTCTCTTATCCAAGGTCCTGAGGTCAGATTGAATCCTGTTTCCCCAGGGAGGAAGGACACACACCTGGCTCTCCACTGGGTCCTTAGAGTCCAGGTGCATGTGTGGAATAACAGACAGCGGTCACAGTGTATAGGCAAGAGCGCCCCCAGTCACCTCACTGTGTCTCAGTCTCTATGCATTCTCCAGTAGGATTCAGATAGGTTTATATAATCTTATTGTGAATCTAGCGTAGGATAGGGTTTAATATAAAGATCACACAATTAAATGGGATTTGGAGGCAGAAACATAATCATCATCTTATCAACAAATAAGAAAGATCCTTTGCCTTCATAAACTTTTCCAACTCTGCTCCTTCATTACAATGGGAAATGTAAGGTTTAAGGCTAGCAAGCGTGACATCATGGCCAAACACATAGAAATGAGCAATACTAATTAGGGCTTTTTAACAAAAGCAGATTCCAGAGCGGCTGTGTGAGGCCACCTGTGAACAAATGTAGTGATGCTAACAGAGCAGGGCTAACCGGCAAACACCAGAGGGGGTGCCAATAGAACCGCTTCATAGCACCATGCCGATACTAACCAGGAATCTGTAGGAAAATGCTCCTATCCACCATGGATGAGTAGGAAAAGCTAAAACGTGTCAGCTACTTTAAAGCAAAGTGAGTTGCTACATGTAGAGTAAAGTTGACATTTGGTTTCTTTTTGCATTAAAATGGCACCTTACTCACAATAATGTGTTTTAAACATATCTGCTCCATGTGCTGCTGTTTGTCTGCATGTGAGCTACTGCAAAATAAGATCAATTACACTGCAACCAATTTATGCAAATGCTGTACAGTGGATACAAAACCTCATGATCATATTCAGACAAAAGCAGGAAGCTGAACCTGCAAAAGCAACGATAGAACACCACACTTTTGTTAACCGTCGTCATAGTAGAGTGTAGAATGAATGCATTGTAAAGTTCTGACTTGTATTGCATCAGGAGAAGTGCAGAGAGTCCATAAAGCACCAGTAAATTAGACTGTCCGCTGTCACACAAGTATCCCTTCATTCCCAAATCTGTGCAGAGTTCCCTGATCCCTGCCCCGCAGACGGAGCATGTTATCTGAGAGACAGGACGCGGGAGGCTCGGCTTTCAGCATCCGCGCGTCTGGAAAAGCCACAGTGATCCTGGTAATAGAAGTCATGCTGCCCATCAGCCGCTTCTAATAGAAGTCATGCTCTGGTCCTCCTCATAACCCCATGCCCCCTCTCCCATGCAGGCCTCTTTGACCGTCAAATTAGTGGAGACCTTTCAAGTTGTCTCCATCCATTTCATGGTGCATATGCAACTGTGAAATGGTGGCTCCCATATCACCCAGGCGATATGGGAGCTTGTCAGGCTTTTTCATATGCACAATAAATCCACAATTCATGTTTTGTTTTGAAAAAGACACACACACAACTCTATAAACAATATATTAAAAACGAGAGACTGTAAAAACCCTGAGCTATAATCCAATCGGAATGACAATTTGTCCCACTATTGCAAAGAAAAAGATAAGTTGATTTTAAAAAAAAGTTATTATAAATGAACCATTTATTTTCCTTTCAAACAACATCGTGGCATTTTTTTTCTTGTATGTCTTCTGTCAACAATAACAATTATGTCAAGGTCACATGAACACTGACATGTGGATAGTGTGCTTTTGTACAAGAATCTGCTACTGACAATGATAATGGTTCTTTTCATTTTAACCTTGTCTTTATGAAAAAACAACATGGTACAGACCAATGGCCTCCTCTGAGAGGTGTAAGCAGACCATGCACTCCTGTGTTCCCAGTACCTCTTTAATCAATTCTGTTCATTCTCACAGAATAAATCAGCCCCCGGTGCAGCTCCAGGAGGCCATTATGCAAACGTCCACAAACAGAATCAGCCTTTTAGAGGAACCTTTGAGAGCAGCCAGCGGCAGGGACCAAATGCTACATACAGCTTCTCTGATCAAACTACATCTGTCTGGGGCCCTCACCACAGCCCCCTGTCTGCAGAATAGAAAGTCACTGTTTGTTTTGTTTCATTTGCCACTGAAACAGTAGATGCCAGAATAAACTTTCAAAGACAAATAAAATATAAACGCATACTAATAAACTGACTGACTGACTGAGACTGAGTAAAAAATTCACATTCCTAGATGTGAGCAAACCTAACTGTTTGGACGCAAAACATCTGAAGACAATGGATTATTTCACGCCTTCAACATGTGCAAATGAAAACTACATTTCCATTTCATTTTGTGGCCAGATATGTTCGACTGCAGCCCGTGAGCTCATCGGAGAGTCTCATTTCACTGACTGGTGTGTGTGAAATCAAAGTGCCTTTAACTTGATTGAGCTGTGGACTTCCACACAATGAGGCTCCACAACAAACAGCTCAGTCGAGCAGAAGCCAACAGCAGCAAATGATTTTGAGAATGGCTCCCTTAGGACCGAGCGGAGCAGCGCAGCGCAACAGTGTGGATGGAGATTAGTGACTGGCGGAGAGCAGCAATCTTCTCCTGTGCCATGAATACCAAACACTGGAGCGTTACCAAGCGTCACCGAGCTGCTGATCTGAGTGCGCTCCTGGCACAGACGCGGCTCGTTGCGCCCCGTGACATGAGGTACATCTTTATTGCAGGACTCCTCAAAGAGCAGTGTTAAGTACGAGAGAGCAGTGCGCTACAATTAAAACGCGGGGCTCGCCGCCTGCAGGAAGCGGAGTGCGGAGCTAATTGAGTGCGGAATGAGCCCCTGGCTGTGATCTGTATGCGAGGCGCAGCCTGCTCCTGGCTCCATGCGCACGGGGAAAAGGGCAAGGACGCGGAATGGCCGCTGAAGTATTTAAATGGACTGAATACTAAACCATATGGAGCCTTAAGGGACACTCGTTTCAAGATGTTGATTCCACATAATGAAGACGTGAAGGACGCACGGCTCCGCAAACGCAGGTCCAATGCAACACAGGCTGTAAAAAGTGCTCTCTGTAAGAAGAGATGCCTTATTCTGACTTTAATATCGCACCTGCAAAGATAAAAACTCATTCTTAATTGGGCTTATGAACAAACAATAACAATGAAATAAAATACTTTTGAATTAGACTTGTGTCACGATCATTTTACGGTAAGAAAGAAGCGTGATCCAACACCAATCCGCGCACATTTGCACCGTAAAGCGTTTCATCAGAGTTACAGCACTTTACAGCGGGCTGCTGGCCACCGTCCCTGCACCGCCACGCAGATCCAGAGGCAGGACGCATGGTCACAACTGTGGCTTCAAGCTCCATGCTTTAAACAAACACCGGGAGTATAGACACAACTTACCTCGAGTAGAAACAGAGGTAGATGCAGATGCAGATCTTTCATGAAACGATATCACTTGAGTCCAGTGTCCCACACATCCACAGAGCGGTGTGCGCGTCCGTGTCCCTAAATATGAGCGATCCTCAAATCGCTGCGGTCGTCTGCGTCCTCGGTCCTGAGACTGCGTGAGTGGCAGTGATGCTGGCTTCACAATCCACAGTCCCAGTGCGCCAGCGCTGTATCCGTCCTGCCTCCGCCGACTTCAAGAGCGCTGTGAGCGAGAGGACGCGCGCACAGACTCCCAAACAGAAGAGAGGAGAGAAGAGGAGAGAAGAGTAGAGAAGAGGAGGAGGCGGCTGAGATGAGAGACGGACGTGGCAGAGCTGATGGAGGGCGGACCGTGTCTCTACCACAGTTATACTGGGTTTTAATTTGAATATGCTCGAAACTATAAAACACGGGGTCAGATGGTTGATTAGCCTATATTTAGACTGTCGTGATGAGAATGACAGTTCAGGTGCAGCTCCTTTCCTCCGAGCTCTTGATTACATACCTTTCGTGATCTAGAGAAAAAGATGAAGCTGATTAAGGGAGAGGAATGAGGGATGGACACAGGACCTCTGCTCTGCTGCAACACAGGAGCCTGCGGATGCAACAGTTGCTCTGCGTTTATTGGCTGCGGGAAGAACGACTACCTCTGAAACAACCAATCTTTGAGAGCTCTGAGCATATGGAGGAATTCTCAAAGAGGATTATTAATGCAAGTTAACACTTGCCTCATAGGAAACTAAACATGTGATTTAACAATTAGCCTTTTATTGAATCATTCACAATAATAGCCTAAAACACGTTGCAGAGAAGCAATAAAGGAAGTCACAGACTAGGAATTTGCTTTGGCCTACATGAGTAAAAAATTGATATAAAGGCAAGAATACAAGAAAATCTTAATACATATCTTATACTGTATATCAGGATACACAATTTAACAGTGCAGACCATGAGATTATAGAAGTATAAAGTGAGTGGGACTGGTCTTTAAGTCATTAAACACCAGTCCCACTCAGTTTTAATGAAAAGTTATTTGATTCTAGGTGTTTGTCTCCTTTGGGTTCATATAATATAATATGATAATGATAATAATCAAAAACAATATTCACTGAGTTAAACCGATTGACCTGGTTTTGAAATGGTGGCACTTGGAAGCCCCAATCATTCATGTATTTTTATGTGGTTTCAACGTGGACCATATAAACATGTGCAGAGAGACTATTACCTTTTAGCGAGACATAACAACCATGATCAAGTGTTCCCATTCTGTCTCCTATTTCCCGGCATAATAGAAGTATTTAGCGCACGAGCTGCACTTGCGTGTCGCTCCAACGACACGCTCCCTTATCCTGTCTCTGATCATTCATATTGTCATTTCAACTACAGCACAACAGGTCCCTATGACTTCAGATGCAAAACGACAGCATTAGCAGGAGATTAAGCGAGCCCTGTCATATGTGATTACAGATTTTCTGGCACGATGGAGGATTTTTATTTAAACCTGTTTGCACACCAGCCTCCTCCAGGTGCCAGCGAGGGGGTCATGCGAGCAGATGTTTGGACCTGGCTGTGCAAAATCACCTCAAGGGAAAGTGCAAGATTACATCTATATGTCTGTTGTTTTTGCTGCAACTATTTTTTTCTGTTGTGAGGAATAGAACAATTACCTTCTCTGGAAATAACATTGAACAGAAGGCTCATGTACTTAACTTTAAAAAAATAAATAACATATTAATAACATAGTCTATTTAAAAAACAAACAAAAATCCATCAATTAGTCCGTGCACTGAAAATTTCACTGTGTTATTCAACTCAAAATGTGTTACAAAAGCTGCTTTACTCATTTCAAACCCAACAGAGTATCAATTAGTTTAGTCGATTGTCTGAATTTTTGTTTATGTTTACTTGGGGGGCACGGTGGCTGCATGGACAGCACTCTCGCTTCTGGGTTCGAATCTCGGTCGCAACAGGACCTCTCTGAGTGAAGTTTGCATGTTCTCCCCATGTCTGCGTAGGTTTTCTCCAAATGCTTCGGTTTCCCGTACCACTATAGCAATGAGTGAATGGCTGGAGGTTTTGATGTGTGTTCATTGTCTTGCTTCCGTCATCACCATGTGTGGAGAGAATGGAATCATATATGAACTAGGAAGATTGTAAAGCGCCTTGGGTGACCGTGGCCTGTAAAATAAATAAACATTACTTACTTACTTACTATACCTACCTTCAATTGTTAAAAAATATAGCTGCCAATTTGACATCATGACATCAAGATTTTACTTTTTCTATTTCATGACCTGAATAATTCATTTGGATTGCTAAACTTTTTACTTTTGAAATTAATTTATAATAATATTCTATACTTACTTGCTTCGTATTATCAATGTATATGGATGCTCTGCCACTGTACACCTTAATCTATTTTTCTATCCATCTCTGAACACTGTTTAGCGCTTGGGTGACCTTGGTCTATGAATTGGGTATATTTATTACTATATAAAAAAAGATTAATTGTTTACGTATATATATCTATTGCTGTCTATCTATCTGTCTATCTGCCTACCTCCTATACCTACTTCCATCCATCCATCTATATATCTCTCAATTTAACTTTCTGATTTTCTTAGTGGATTGTAGCATATAGGGTAAATTATTATTTTAATCACAAATATGCCTTGTGAGCATAAAGACACTGATTTATGCCCTTGCGGTGACATAAGCCTCTTGACACTGTGAGGTCTGTGAGGCCGTGACGCTCATAAACATTTAAAGCTGTGTTGTTTACTGTAGGACGCTGTAGCCACACTTTAGAGGACGGCAAAGTGCTTCTCCATGTCCACGAGCCGGAACAGTGCTCCTCCGCTCTGTCCTCTGCTCCCACTGTTCTCCAGGGAGCGGCCTGTGTCCAGGGTTTCACGGCCTCCTCTGCACAATCTGTGCTGAAAGAGCCATCGCACACAGGAACTCTCACCACGGACAACATCAAAATCATGAAAAATGAAAGTCGATGGAAAAGTGTGTCTGCAGCATCCTCACCTGCCCTAAGGCTAATGAGGGAAACAAGGCTGTACCGATGGTTACCGAAGCCACAACACCACAAACAAGGATCAAGAACACGCTATAACATGCCCCCTAAAACGAGTACAAATTATTTTAAAACAGCTTCTGTGGATGGTTAGCCAAGCTTTTATTCAACACAATTTCTTCGCATTAAAATTGGCCATAGCAGTCATTCACTGGCTAAAACATGGAATACATGTTCTATCACATAGAACATATTTATTATTTTGTTAGCAGTGAATCATTTACGTCTACACTGTCCTTGGACAGGACCCGACATGTTTACAATTCAGTGTTCAAAAAGTTCAGCTTCTTTCTTATAAAAAAGTAACAAGAAAAATTTTACAATATTTTCTTCAGTCCAGCCTCTTGATTTGTCTTGCGTCAAAGCCAAACCATCTCCCATACAAATGATAAATCATGCATTATAATTTTTTTTCACTTAGATAAAAATCGGCTTCATTTCACTTTCCCTTATTCAATCCTATCATTATTTTCTTCTAAAATGATTCTGAAAAAATGTAGCATGCAATTTTTGGTTCTCAATAATTCATGTTTGAAAGTACAGCTCTAACATACCCATCGTATAGCTAACATTTCAGACAAAGGACAGATATTAGGTACCCGTGAAAATTAGGAGAGGACTGACCCTGTGTGTCAGCCTTCATGATCTCACCTGGTAGCAACGGCCAGGTCACCAAGCACCAACCAGGAGAGGCACTGGTCTGGCACCTCTCGTGCTACCTGCTTGCTACAGCCAAATGCAGCAGCAGAAGGCTCCTGATTGGTCAGTTGAAAGGGCAAATGTGTGGATTTACAAAGAAAAGATCACCATAAACACAGCAGCTTTGAAGATGGCGCCAAACCTTGGAGTTTTAAAGCACAAAATGGTGACAGTGTGTGACACAAACAGTTAATGAGCTCAGAGAGTTTCCTTTTTAATGTAAGTGATCGAATGGTCATCACTGATTGTCTCAGATTCTGCTGTGGGAGTGGACATTCTCAGAACTACCTTTATAACCACAACTGTTAATGCTCTAAAGCTATATCAAACTCAGGCCCATGGGCCAAATCTGGCCTGCAAAACCATTTTTTGCGGCCCCTGAAATGATTATCTTCATTGCACTAACTGGTCGCATTGATGGTAAGGGGATACTATGGCGTGTTGTACTTCATTTTAAAGCCTATTGTCTCAGGAAATCAACCATAGCATTGTATCTGTTCAAATATGTTTATCTTCCAATCCCTTTTTCATATTTGGCCCAGTTGTAGTTGAATCCAAACATACAAGGAACTTATATCCAAACTCATGTCAAATACAGTGATTTTTTCAAAAGACAAATATATTAAAAAAATAAAATAAAATACCACTTTCACCACTTCGGCCCAAGCCTGCTCTTATGTTAATTTAATCATGGTCTCCGACCAAAATGAGTTAGACACCCCTGCTCTACAGTAAAGATGTTGTTGTTGTCCAGCCCAGATCCTTCTAAACTCAGCCTGAGGTCGACCATATTTATTTACAGTTGACTTTATCTTATCCGTGGTCAGAGCAGTCCTGCTGGGTGAGTGAAGCTCTGGAGGTCCTCATCATGGATTAGAGATTGATCCTCTGAGTCTCTATTTGTTTTAGCCTGATCTCAAGGGATGCCAATTCATTAGGAGTTGCAGGATTTAATCATTAGGAAAAAAATAAAATCCATGTATTTGTGTAGGTTGAGGGAGTCTTAGGTCTAAATAAATGTTTAAATGCATTGAAAAAACACTACTATGTTGGTAGCAGATTACATCATCCAGAAACATAGATGAACAAGAAGTGAAACAAATGGTGTGTATCTTCTCTAAAGGATATTAGGCGTATTTGACTTGTAGATGGTATTGTGAGTTCAGGGAGAAGCTTATACTGGGCTTGTTATTGGTGTTCGTGCACTTAAAGCTGGGGCACCTAACTTTTTGCTTTATAGACAACACATGTTGCTTGTGCTACAATTGGACCATTACATGCTGTCTTTATTTCATTATAAAACATGTTATCTTTGCATACTTGAGAGCCCTGTGAGCCACTATCAGATGCTTTGGGCTGATTGATTGCGTGTCTCTTTTTCTCTTTTCTGTTTGAAAAAGCTGATCTCAGAATGTGACAAAAGCTCTTCAATGTGAAAACTAAAGTGGAAAACAAATACCATTAAAAATAAATCAAAAGCAATAAAAACCTAAGCTAAAATAGGGCTAAAATCAGGGTTAAAAATAGGCTCCACCGATAATTCCGCTCTCCCAGCTCTCCCAGCTCTCCCAGCTCTCCCAGCTCTCCCAGCTCTCCCAGCTCTCCCAGCTCTCCCAGCTCTCCCAGCTCTCCGGTCCGCTCTTCATTCTCTCGTGGCCATGACCTGGGCCGCCAGACCACGAGTCTTTTGCTTCCCTCGTGTCCGGCCTGTGTGTTGCTCTCTGGCTTTCTCCTCCTTCTCCTTCACCCATCACCGCCTTTTATACCCAAGACACAGGTGTTTTAATTGTCCGTTGTCGTGTGGGGAGCCGGGTGCTTCGGGTGATGCAAGTCAATGACTATATACTATTTGTATGCACACACATGCATACAAATATAAAAACGTATGCATAAGACTATAACAACGAACACATGCATACAAATATTTAAAAAAACACAGAAAACCTTATTCACCCCAGTTGCACCCACTTTGAGAGCAAGGAACATAAGTGAAATGGGTTACAGTTATTTATTTGTGATTTGAAAGTTAGATTTACCAGCTTTAAAGAGAGCTTTTTGTAGAGCTCAACATCTACAAAAAGCCAAGAAGTGAAATGTTATCCCAGCGTGACAGGAAGAGGCGGAAGAAGGTGTTGTTTGTTGTGCTATGAAATACTGTGAGGACGAGGTCCGAGAGCAGAACGGAGCAGTGGCCAAATTCCTGCATTGTTAAAACCGTCCTCGGCCTGGGTCTATGTCTGCAGAGCTTTAGGAGCATTATCTCATGACCCCTGGGTGTGAGTATGGGCCACACAGCCAGCCCCCAGCATGGTCCCCCCTGGCCCCCTGCCTGCCACTGAGACCCCGCGCTCCCCGTGGTGCTAAGGTAATGGCCTGTGGTACTGACCAATCACAGAGCTGGGATTATCAGAGCTGTAATAATTGAATTTGGGCTGAGTGTGAGAACTGTGAGAGAACTGAAAGTCAATAAAATACCCAAAAAGAAAGCAGATGTCTCAAGCCTTTTGCAAATGACATAAAATGAATGAAATATGCTAAGAATAAAATCAAGTGAATATTCATGTATGTTAAATATGGGATCACTGCATTTGGGGATATTAATGGATACAAATGGTTCATGTTGATACCCCCAGAAGAGTTCCAAGTCAAGGTCAGACATATATAACCTAGAATCTTTACACACTTATCTAAAGGCTATTTTTTGAATTCCCCATTTCCCAGATGTGGGATCAGGGAAATTCGATAGAAAGCCTTTAGTTCAATTCGACTCAATGTGTTTGGAAATATTAAAGATCAGTGATGATAATGTCTCTTTGATCAGCAACGATAATTTACATTGTGTTTATAGGGAAACATAAAATGTGAACAACTGTTGTAAGTGAAATGTAGGAGGGCCATTTTTATTCAAAGTTTTAGCGATGTTTTCTCCTATTTCAGGGAGGAGACAGAGTGACATCGTGTTTGGAGCAATTCTTCATAAACATTCACTGTAGGAATCAAATGATGCATCGGCTTCAGAATGTTCTATAATGTCTTAGTTGTTTAAATAGAAAGATTTAAGATAAGATAAGAAAAGACAAGATGACCTTTAAGCTTGACCTCTCGTCCTACAGTGCGGAAATGTTGATGTTGTAGCTTACAGGACAGTAACAGCACACAAAATATAATGCATCTGTTTTATACAGCGCATATGGACAAAGACGCTTCACATGTCATTATTCATTCACTCCATACACAGTGGTGAACTACCACTGAAGCCACAGCTGCCCCGGGGCACACTGATTGAAACGAGGCTGGCACATACTGGCTGTATGTAACTATCTGAACAATGAACAATTGTAAAGCGCTTTGGGTGACCTTGGTCTATAAAATGCGCTACATAAAAAAACCTTACCTCACTTGCTTGTATGTGCCACCGGCCCCTCTGACCACCACCAGCCATTCACACACACACACACACACACACACACACACACACACACACACACACACACACACACACACACACACACACACACACACACACACACACACACACACACACACACACACACACACACACACACACACACACACACACACACACACACACACACACACGCACACGCACACGCACACACACCAGTCTCATCCTAAGTAATGTAGGAGAAGTGTTTTGCCTAAGGACACAACAACTGTATGGTACTTTACAGCCGGGTCTCCCATCACAGGACTAACCAGGCCCTGGTTTAGTTAATGACAGAAAAAAAGAATAAAATAATTCCCAAAGGTTTCCCGTGGCTATGCGAGTAACAGTTAGGCTAACAACTTCCAAACTAGAACTCTCTCGAACAGCATGAAAACTGAACAAAGAATTCTGAACATCAGAGGTGAGTGACCCAAACATAAACTTAAACTAAATCCACAATTCGATCTAAAATGTCCCGGAATCTACTTCTGGGTTTTTCGTGATAGCTTTTTCTCGCATTAAAACAGTATTTTGTCCTGAAAACGTTAACAGATAATTCTGAAAACCTCTGTGCACTTGTATTAAGACTGTATTTGTCTAGTGTATTCTCCAATTAACATTTAAATGTGTTGATTGATTGGTATTTGCGTTTATTGAGCGTGGCTAGCTCCGAAGTGGCCAGAACTATTACGGCGTAATCTACACATCTGAATTACAAGCACAGAGTGCATTGCCATGGGCAGCAGTCATTATTCTTTTGAGAGCTCCGTTATCAAGAAATAATGACCAATAGAACATTTTGAAATAACATTTAAATCAATGGAGCGTTCCACTGCTGCTGTGAGGAGCCGTGTAATAAATTCATGTATGGCACGATAAATAAAGTGCGTAAAGTGACATTCAGTGAACATTTCTCCTTGGTCCCTTACAAACTCAACAATATTCCATCCTGCACCGATCTGTTGGTCTGGATTCAAGTGCAAATCAGACATTAGAATATCGAGAAAAAAATCCCAGACATTTGGAGTTCTTGTGTTGTGGCTGTCGGTGGGAGCTGCCGGCCTCCTCCCTGGCTGCATAAACAAACCCAGCTCCTTCTGCACTCTCTCTGTCGTTCATTCTCATTATACGCCTGTTATTTGTGGCTTGCTGCAGTGGGCAGCATTAACTTAAATGTGGGGGGCTTCTCCAGAGCACCGGCAAACAATCTCTAATGACGCAGAGGTGTTTTTCAGGCTATTTTCAATGTTTTCACGCCGCTGATGCGCTGCTGAGTGATTTGCATCTGGTCACAGTGATGGTGCAGTTATGAGCGGTTTCAGTTGGAGCTGGTGCACTTCAGAGCTTGTCCACCGGGAAGAAGGACTGAACATGTCACTGATTCAAATTGATGCTTTACCAGTGGATATCTATCAACAGAAATCTATTGTCTGTGTGATCATCACTCCAGTAAGACATGGAACAAATAGGGATGCACCGATACTGGTGTCGGTGGATACCATAGGCTTGTACTCGTACTTGTACCATATGCTTTTTAATTCACATTCACAATTTGAAAAAAGTGGTATCGGTGCATCACTAGTAACACTGTGCACTTATGGACCGATACAAATGTGCTTTCAGTTGTATTTCTTGTCAGATTCAGATTCATTTATTTGCCATTTGCAGTAAAACCACATTGGAAAAACTGTGCAAGACTACCCCAGTGTGCACCAGACGGCACACACCAGAGCTCTTGCCACGGCGCCATCTTCAGGCGCCATGGGATGTGTTTGAATGGTTTGATCTCTCTGATCTGTGTTGGCAAATTCAACAGTTGTGTAAAGTCCTTCGAGATAAGGGCTATGCACGAATAAATTGAATTGAATTGAATTTTAAGAACACATTTAAATGTTCCTAAAATTGAAATGTGTTTTTAGGAGGATAGTATTAATGCTTTTTGCTCTCAGGATTGGTGTTTGAAAATACAAAATAAATTCTCTATGATGGATGAGCTGATAGTAAGCAAAGCTTCCACAGCACATTGTATTGAAAAAACAATTAATTTAAGCGTGCAAGCTGGAAAAGGCATATCCAGTCAACATATACTTTCAATTTAGCAATAGCATGGATGTTAAATCCTTATAGCTATGAGGTTTTGTTATCCATCCTTCTTAATGAGAGAATTAATGAGCAATGGTAGGAGTGGGAGGAGTTATTGTTGATAAAGTAACAGTCCATATTGGTGGGGAACCAATTCCACTGAACTCATTGAGCCCTGCTGCAGCTGATGGAAGCACATTTCCGCTCCATGCTCAGGCTCTTAATGCTGCACAATTCTGTAGCACAAAGAGCCTAACACGTTTTCTAATATCTCATTAATAAATAACAAGAGGCACATTATCGCTGTCCAGTCGGCAGAGGAAGGATTCTCTCTTGGGTCAGAGAAACATGGTGGGGAAACTCTACCAGTCTGTTCTAGTCACATGTGGCAGTGAAGGTAAACATGTGGCTCTGGTGCTGGGTGGGGTCACATGGGGTGGGGTCAGGAACACATGGGTTGGGGTCAGCTGGTGTGAAGCCAGTGCTGTTGCTCCGCAGGGAAGAGCAGGAGGTCTGTTTAGGTTGAGATAGTGAATCTGTAGGACAAACACCAGAGCTCATTACATTTCATTCTCTTCATTCTGTCAAAGTCCACAGGTCGACAGTCAGAGCCCAGGCCCACAACTGTCCTGCAGAGAAATGATGGAATGGAGAAGAGAACTAGAGATCTACAACACCTGTGAATCATGGTCATGTATTTGAAAATCTGAAATGTGCTCAAATCCGGAACAGATTCTAACGTTTATGTAAATGTGCATGTGCTACTCATCCATGCATCGCTAATTAAGAATAATAGATTGAGTAAAGAACTGTGACCAGATGGTAATGAAAATATGTCAGAGCAATGGTCTTGAATGCAAGATCATAAAATATATTTAAATATGTATATTCTGACTTTTATAGAACCAGGAAGTCTCAGAATCTCTTTTCTCCAGGGTGTCCTAGTCCCAGAGAGAGGGGAGCTATTGAACATGTTTTTATTTGTACATAAAACCGGAGCACACTCAGAAAGGCCCGGTTCCAGCTGAGATTCAAATCCGGGACCCTCTTGCTGAGAAAAGAGAGTACTAACCAAAGAAAGATTTGAGAAGGGGAAATAATTACAGTAGTTAAAAGTTACTGTCTCATATTGTAATGTTGATTGCATACGGTGCTTCCATTGCATACTGTATTTATACATTTATTTTCCACTTGTCTGCTGTTTATTTACTGTAACATATAGCATCTTATTGTACATGTTTTTAGTTATAGGGAAAACTGGAGCACCCAGAGGAAACTGTAGCAGGCGAAGGGAGAACATGCAAACTATTCTATCCTAAGGGAGGTGCACCGGCTGTACAGAAGTGAGCTGCCAGAAGTGAGCTGCCAGAAATGGTGGAAATTTTCCTTGAGGAGGAGCATGGCAGACATGTTTTTAGGCGGATAGATTGTTTTAATATTATATCTGGACACGCACATTGGCCATGAAGACAACGGGGATCACTCTTGGACTGTTGGCAGGATTGCATTGTTATAACGATTGGATAATATGCTTGTTGGCCTCACTGGACTCTGCAGACAAAACAACTAAATGTGTTTGCGGGTGGATTCAGCTCATCTCCGTGCCGAGGTAAGTGGAGCTGTTTGGTGGATGGAGTTATAATGTGTTATATCGATGACACACAGAGTTAGAGCTCTGAAGTCTGCAGGGACCTCACATCACACTGAGATGTTAAACCAGCTGTGCTCCTCCCCAAAGAGGACACGACACTGAGGCTGAGTTTACACGGAGACAATGTGGCAGTAAAACGGTATAGTTGGATGTCGGTTTCTACCAACCGTTCATACGAAGACTGTGTTCCAGGGGGGTCAAAACGTAAGTGTTCAGATCTAGCCTGCAAAGTGGGACAACTCAGATACGCTGCACAGCGGGGGGCTCTTTCACACCCGCGAGAGGGAAAAAGGTGTGAAATCCCCCTCTGCTCTGACCACCACCTCCGCGCTGATCCCCGCACGTAAATTTGGACATGCACAGTAGCGGAGAACAAACATAAACAACAATGGCGGCCGGTAAACTAACTAGCTTCGTGGGCTTCCAGCGCTACACAGAGGAAGATTCTACTCCTTCGTTCGTCCAAACGAGACCACGCGAAGCTCTAGGTTCAGTTTCCATTTTCACAGCTGCTGTTAAAATGCAGAATGATGTTGGTACTTTCTGAGGGTCTGGCACAGAAAGTGAGTACACTGCCAGGAGGGCACGGGGCTGGGGGTCGTGTGAGTGTTGTAAAGTTTCTCTGCCCACTACTGGCCGGGCGCTAGAACTACATCGTTTTTCAACCTCATGTGAGCGCAGAGGAATTTGCATTATGAGCCAGGTCGTTTCTGTTAATAGCCTGGAAACGTCTGCGCAGCGTCTCAGTATAAACAGGGCCTGAGATGCACAAAAGTCTGTCTCACAAGTCCAACTCAAGTCTCTGCCGTAGAAATCCAGTGCAAGTCATGATCAGGAGTCCAACTTAAGTCCAACTCAAGTCAAAGTCTTTGGAACCGTAAGTCCAAGTTAAGTCCAAGTCTATGGATCCCAAAGTCCAAGTCAGGTCCAAGTCAAGTCCAAGTCTATGGACCCCAAAGTCCAAGTCTATGGACCCCAAAGTCCAAGTCAGGTCGAAGTCAAGTCCAAGTTTATGGACCCCAAAGTCCAAGTCAGGTCCAAGTCAAGTCCAAGTCTATGGACCCCAAAGTCCATGTCAGGTTCAAGTCTCATAGTTGTCGTACTTTGTGTAGAGGGAGAGGTTTTCTGAGAAGCGAGAGTGCTATCCACTCAGTCACTGTGTTGTTCCTTTGCTGTCAGACTGTGCAAAGAAAACTGAAACTCTGCTGACTCTGTACTTGTGCCTTTCACCTGTGGTAATAATGAGCAGTACTGTGGTCATTGTAAGAAAGTGCAATAACATATCACACTGTGTCCACTGATGAATTTCCTTGGTCCCCTTACAGTATGATGCTAATGATAAAACAGATACTGACATTTCCACATTATGGGACAAATAAAGCTTTTGTTATATTATCTCATCCTGTGTCCATGTTGGGAACAGGAGAGATATGAGTGTGATATGTGTGGTCTCACACTTTCTTGTCACCTCATGCAGTCTCTTTGTTGCAGTACACCTACACATGAGGGTGGCTTCAAAGTTTACTTCTCACAAACAGAACTTCAGTCTGACTTTTACAGCTTACAGTTTCTCTGCTGCGGCACTTCTTCAGACAAGAAAACCTGTGAGTCTGCATCTTGACAGGTTGGATGTGATGCTGTGGCTTAAAAAAACACACTTTTACAATGACTTAGAACAATGTATTTTCTGCTGTAGGATTCTTACATTTGCTGAGCAGCTTACGACGGTGAGTGATTAACTGTGTGTATTTGGGGAGAGGTGTTTTGATGATAATAAATATGATCAGTCATTTAGGAGGTTAACAGCACTTATGTACGTACAGTATGTTTTTGTGACATTGAAGCGTCCGGCTGTTGTGATGCATTGACTGTTTCTTCAGCGCTGGTCAACTCAGGTTTTCCAGTCGACTGCGTGACGTGTGAAAAGCATCTCTGTGGTGTGTGGGTAAAGATAATGTGTGAAACTTTAGTGTTTTCTTAAGCTGAGGGCCCCTGCTGAGTGAGGGCCCTCTTTGGGGGCCTGGGCTCTGTGTTATTATCTTCTCCTTCATAGTGACTGACTGGAGCTGTCCTCTCTCAGTATTTATGCCATAGGGGAAACAAGACTTCTCACACTTTCACTCAAAATGAAACAAAACAGATACACTATTCACCACATTATTTTGAAAAAAAAAAAATACTGCAGAAAATGTATAATAATATTTCAAATTCAATGGTAACCATGCTTTTACAGGTACTTGTACAGAGGACAGAAGTTCCTTGTATTTATAATGTGTGTCGATAGTGTACGTTTTGTGTTGTTTCTTCTCTTCTGCAGTTAGCCACATGAACACTTAACTCATTACTGCCCCCTAACCTTATATCTGTCACTATACTGCACTGCTAAATGTCTGTTGTGTGTACTTGTATATCATACTAATTTTAAGAAATGTTATGGCGATTTTGTATTTCTTTTCACGCTTGCCTGATTCAATGTTTAATTTTATAACCTGTTTGCACCAAGAGCCAAAGCAATTTCCTAGTTTGTGACTCCCTGTTACTCACAATGGCAATAAAAATAATTCTGATTCTGACTGTGGTATGTGGTTATGACTAATTGAGTGTGTTTACGAAGCATGAGAGGTCAGTGTGCGCTCAAAAACTGTACTCAAGTTGAAGCAAAGAGAACTCTTTCAACGTCTACCTTTCCCCTAACTGTAACTGTAAATGTAATTTGTCTATTATACACATATCAGTAAAATCTCAGCAAATGTAATCACACAACAACTTTGTGTGCTTGATTTGAGATCTTAAAAAGCAAGGGGAATTAATTTATAAAGGACCATTCATGAAGATAGAACCATGATTCCTGTTCATTATTGCGTAAACAAAAAACACATGCAGTGAGGAACTGTGTATCGATCCTGAGCAACATCAGTGAGTCGTCTAAAGGATCATATACAAATACTTCAAATACGGGTTTGGCTTTTCTCTGTGTCCTCATGTGCATCAGTTCCAATTTGACTGCTTCTTCATACTTTATAAATTAGATTCAATCGAATCGAGGCCGTAATTAAAATGTACCCTTGCATCTCCAAAATATCTGATTGAACTGATCCAATGTATCAAGTATTACAAACAGAATTACAAACTGATCCAGTAGGATTGAGGAAATAATGCAAAATAACAGTATACAGAGCGTCATGGCTACTAATTATTAATACGTTTATGAGTGAGATGGATTCATGGCTTTCATCTAGAGCAGCTAACAGCATGACTCCTCCAGTGCACAGAACAGCACAAGGGCCAGGGCAGAAGCACTAGCAGAACGAGCAACACAAGCAGGAGAAGAGCCGAGGAGCAGCCACACTCACTGTCATTTCTGTTGTAATTTACCAAATGCATTATTCATTGGGTGAAGGTTATCCAATCACTCAGCCAATCCCAGCTGCATCTAGGGGAAGATTGGAGAATTAAAATTTCATATGAGAACACAACTGTGTCAGTTCTCAGTATCAGAGACACCACTCAGAACAAAAGAGTCATAGCACCTCAAGGTTATGTGCATTAGACACAAACTGCACAGCTATGTCCAAACTGATACATACATTATTCCCATCTGAACTTCTCATCCCTCTGTGGTAGTGATCCACAACCTGCTTTTGCCCCACAGACTGGATTAATTCAGACATCATTTTTGCAGTTCTTTCAGTTGTTTCATCCAAGGCTCCAGATCAACATTTGTGGATGTTACACTGGAGTTACTATTACTATTAACCTGTTAACTTCCATTCAGGTTAATTGTTGTGACTGTTGTTAATGTGACTGCGCTGTCAGACATGTTTAACTCAGACCTTTTTGAACTATTGTTAGATAGAAATGTTTATAATTGATTCACTTTTGTGTTTGTATGGATGCGTTGCTGCTGCTGGAAACATGAATTTCTCCAAAGGGGATCAACAAAACAAAAACACAAAAACATGCACAATAAGTATGAATGTAAATGAGAGAGTGAATGGATGGTGTTGATTGGAGTAAGTAAGTAAGTAAGTA